TATCTATATATTACAAGGTGCCTGCTGCTGCTCTGCATCAACGCACACACTTCGTAATACGGAAGTCACGGCACTACATCGAAACTGCAAGGTGCCGGTTGCTGATATGTTTCACTCTATTATTTATTTCTGTTTGTGTCTAGCCATGCTGTATAAAGAATTCTGAGTAAAAGAAGACGCCTTCATTAAAAACTGTCTTTCGGTTTTACATTATTGGAAAAAATTATTCTGCAACACGTACTATTCAGTACCTGCATTTTTTTCACCAGAAGAAAGTTAATAGAAATAGAGTGTACTAGTGTTGTACACGTACCACATTGTGCAAAGTGTGGATGCGAGGCACGCTTTTCAAATACTATCATTTTGTTTAAGCACCATTATCTTACCGCACGAGAGATCGCGAAGGCATTTCACATCAACATTAGGGAATCATCCTGTATCAGCCACCCATCAGTGACAATTTTGAAAAAAAAAAGTGTCGCTGCTGAAACGGATGATGAGCCCATCAAACATGGTACATAGACAAGGATTTGAAATTACGACGGTGCGCATAGGCGTAGTGTGACGAAATATATATATATATATATAATCGGAGGACATAAAGAGTCTCACAACGCCTTACAGGTAGCAGCCCATTATCGAGCGTTTGCTGCTTGCTTTATCAACGCCTCTGGAAAGGCATTATATGTTTTTTGCTAGATGGACACATATGTCCATTTTTAGAGCTGTTTGAAAGCTGCTATGTGTTCTTAGTGGTGATGGCTGCACTATCCCGGCTTTTTCGACGTAGTTTATGGCCTCCCAAATGTGCCTACAAATCACCGAACGGGCTTGTTTTCATCCTGACACCTGTCGAACAAAGTTCGTTAAAGGAGCCCTGAAACATTTTTCCATGCAACCATGGAATGAATTCACTAGAAGAGCTTCTTGCCTCAGGAATTCAATGCCGCAAAAATTTTAAGAATCCGTCCAGTGCGAGCGGAGTTACAAAGGTTTGTCACACGGTGCCATTGCACTATCTCTTTTCTCGTCCCGACGAAAACGCTGGAAGCTAAGCAGGGAGGGGTGGCAGGAGAAAATAAATTCCGTTACTCGCACCTCGTGACCTTGAGCACTTCTTTTTTCTTTGAATGCGCGGCTTCTTCAGTCTGATCGCACGCGGACGCGTGGACAAGCAGCGACCTCCAGCGACAATCTCTGTAGCTTGCGTTTTCACCCACGGCCGGGCTAGACTGCATCTGCGCGCTCCCCTCTTACGGTCTTCGCGGCGGGTGTAGTACATGCCTCTCGCCACTCCTTTGAGGGAGGCGCTGCAACCCTGCCATCTTCCGCTGCTCCTTACAGCGCGTGCAACGCCAGCACAGGGGTTCGGGTGCGCTTCTCCACTCACTGCGCGTCGAAAAACAAGTTGCTTAATCATTGCAGATGCCAAAATCGTGTATGGGATTGCTAATACCTGATGATGCTGGGCTTGAACCTATAAACCTCTGAAGAGTGCAGTTTGCTGGCAGTATCACAAGCCCCGAAGTGTGCGCATGATCGTAGCCTCTTTGTGACAAAAAGCGGCATACCACACAACTCTTACAGAATTGTCTGGGTACGCTGAATTCTTTCTTCTATCACATTCTGTTAGATGCAAAGAAACAAGGCCTTTTTCTCTCTTTTCTGTGCATCTGCTGCGATTTTCTTAACGCATGTATGGTGCTTGCTTTTCCGATAATATTTTGACGCATTTTTTTCTTCTCACAGCAATCGCTGCACTTTCTCGCATTTTGGAGCGCAATCGTCCTATCATAGTCCGGTATCGACCCGTACAATGAGCGTAGCTGTTTTTTGTTTGAGTGTAAACATTTGCTGCTTCTTCTTCAGTGAAAGCGTCTTGTGAAGTTCAAACATCCAGATCTGTTTCATTGATCTCCACTTTTCGCTTCCTTTATGTTTGACGTAGGGGCCAAACTCGTGAAGCAAGATATTTGCGAGGCTTCTCTGCACTTGAAATAATGTCGGAAAGATAGTTCTCGGAAAGAGTAGGCGCGCACGCGCAGTCAGGAATAAGTTTTCTGATGCGGAACGCAGGCACATAGTGTTCATCGCGCAAGTGTCTGCTGCATACGACTGTCGATGTAGACTTGTCGTTAATAATGAGGTTGTCTCTCGCAATATTCTTTTGTCACTTGGCGCACAGCTCATTATTGTTTGGTATTGGTGAAAAGGAACACCGAGTGTTTTCCGCAAACGGGACTTGCAATACGAAACCACGGCGATCGAGTGGTCGCGGCGAAACACAGCAATACACCTTGGCGCTGCTAATATATATCCATGTGCATAGTGCGCGCCATGAAGGCTGTGCGACTGCCTTCTCGACTAAAAAAAATACTGTAGACTGAACACTAACAAAGCACTGAATGAAGTGAAGCCACGGTGGGTGGATCCTAGAATAAAGCAAGCCACACTAAAACTAAAAGACAATCCACAACAACCTGCTTGTAGCAATAAGCCACAATAGAATTTATACAGCTTTTTCAGAAAAACAGCGGCCTACTTGCCGAAAAGTTGTAATGTTGTCAATTTCTATTTCTAAACATGTTGTTCCACGAACTAGAAAGATAGCGTAGAACTCATTTGCACTTCAGTTTTAGTACCGGGGCAAGCGGCTTGAGAGCGTAAGCAGCTGCGTAGTTCGTTCGCATTCTGCATGGACCTGGCTTGCAAAGGAATGAAAAAAGCTTGGGGTCTCCGGAATCAATATTTCCAAGTGGTGTTAACACCTTGACAATGCACACCACCACTCTATGCGTGCCATCCGAACACGTTATTCAGCAGCAAGGGCCCTCTTTCTTTACTTTCTTTCTCTTTATACGCAGGCCCCGCCGCGGTGGTCTAGTGGCTAAGGTACTCGGCTGCTGACCCGCAGGTCGCGGGTTCAAATCCCGGCTGCGGCGGCTGCATTTCCGATGGAGGCGGAAATGTCGAGGCCCGTGTGCTCAGATTTGGGTGCACGTTAAAGAACCCCAGGTGGTCAAAATTTCCGGAGCCCTCCACTACGGCGTCTCTCATAATCATATGGTGGTTTTGGGACGTTAAACCCCACAAATCAATCAATCTTTATACGCAGTTCTTTAGCCATTAGACGTACAACAGACGTGCGTGTTAGAGTTGTCAGGCTGCAGGCAGCAGCTATTAGCCCTGAAAACACTTCAAATGTATTTGTAAAAATAAAGAAAAATAGAAAATAGCTAGAAAAGGCAAGGCGCGCTCGTCATTCCATGAGCGACCTCTCTTAATTGCGACATCGTTGTCCGACGAAACCAAGGGCCAAAGGTGTTTAGTACTCTCTGATTGCAGAACAGGTGCAGCATTGTTCTTATATCTTTCTGATTGTTGCCAGTGTTTTATGCCTTCTGAAGTATGCCTCTCATTAGCCGATTATTTCGCATTTTCATTGAGTTTCAGCTTGTATTATCCACGAGCACATACATACCTACGTTAGGCGCAAGCCATCTGGTAAATTAGTTTTCATTTAGTAGACGATCCTACCTCTATCCTCGATTTCCTTAAAAAAAAAAAAACCTCCACCTCTTCACCGAGAACCGTTATTCCATGGTTTTGTACCGACAAACTCCCTTGTGCCCTGTGCGCGACGCAGAAGATGCCATGTCAGGGTTGCTACGCCCCTACCACCGACGGGTGGCGAAACATTCTCAGAAACTTTCCCATTGTATTCGCGACGGGTGAGAAAGCCGTAAGCAGTCTAGCCCGGCCGTGTTCGCTCACGGACGATTTTTAGCTCACAAGCAACTGGGCCGACACCTTTGTCACCTCTGCCCGTTTCAAGCCGCCGGCCCTCCATTCCCTCGTTGGGAGCCCTCTCCTCCTCCTCGTTTCCGCTTTTCGTAGTTCGTATCCCACTGCCCTCCAGGGTTCATTCACCTGTTTTCGCGGAAGATGGTCATGCTCCTTTTCTTTTTCGTAGTGTTAGCTACACTGGCCTCGCTGAGCCAATTTCCCGAGGCACTGGTCTGCGAATGCGCAATGATACTCCGCCGCCGCCGCGTGCGGCTCGCCACCGGTGTGCGCGCGATTCGATGCGCTGCGCAGACGATCAGTGGTGTCACGCACCGGAGCCGGCACCTCCCTCGCACTCGGCCACGCGCGACTCGCCGCCGCCGGTGTGCGCATTCCAGAGCAGTGCCGCCATATCCTTGGTAGAGATATGGACGCCGACGCGCGCGCCTTCCCTGTGCAGTCGCCATCTGACACTGCGCTGGAGCCGCTTGATAGCGCCTCTGACTGGCGTTTGCAACTGTGGTATAGCCATGGAGATGGAAGAATAATCAGCTGAAGCTTTGCTAACGCTACGTATATCCTGGCATAGCTGAGCTAAGCCACTGCCATTTTTTGTCTTTTTTCTACAGTTACGTTTATTAGCCATTGACTAATTGATTGATTGATTGATATGTGGGGTTTAACGTTCCAAAACAACTATATGATTATGAGAGACGCTGTAGTGGAGGGCTCCAGAAATTTTGACCACGTGCGGTTCTTTAACGTGCACCCAAATCTAAACACATGGGCCTACAACATTTCCGCCTCCATCGGAAATGCAGCCACCACCGCCTGGATTCGATCCCGCGACCTGCGGGTCAGCAGCCGAGTACCTTAGCTACTAGACCACCGCGGTGGGGTACGTTTATAAGCCATGAACAAGAGTGTAGAATACAAGCAAACATTCAATTATATGCGAGGCAGTTGTTTCGTTTAACATGGAATATTTTACACTGCAACGGGTTAAATACGGACGCAGAGGGTCCGTTTTTAACACGTCGCACTATAAAATATTACACGATGAACATCCAGCAATTTGCGCAGCTCACGATTCTGCCTCCATCTGTTCAGCTTATGCAGCAGTTTTGTTTAACCGATTTTCGTTTCCTGAGAAGTGCATACGTATACCGGTTCAATGCAGCTGGTATATACCTTTCAAGTAAACTGATCCTTACCAGGGCAAACTTTTGCTTGGCGTAGAAGAAAGGAGGCCACGCCCAGTTGTAGCCGAGTCCGGCGGCAAACACGGCTAGAGCAGGCCTAGCGGGACCTTGCAAGCCGCCCCCGCTGCGAAAGACCAAGTAGGCGGCATAGCCCATGGCACTGTTGAACACCACCCATAGCGCAACCTGGCTTGTGCTTCCGGGAAAATTGCGTACCAGTTGACACCGCTGCGACGTTTAAAGTGACTGTAGTAACCGCCGAACATGCAGAAGTCGCAAGGTACATCATACACCTCCTTTAGTATAATAGTTAAAAAGGTGTTCTGCGCGTATCTTTAGCGCTGACTCATCTGTGGCAAGCCATCTGATAATAAGGGATATTATCAGGACAAAATCCAAAACTAGTTTTCTAGCAAATAAACTTGGGTAGCGAAATGCGTAGTATATACAAAAGTTTAATGTATGTGCCAGATGCGAAGTTATTTGAAGATGTTCTGCGGGAGCTGATTGACGTTTGTGGCAAGGGATAATATAAAAACACTTTCATCGAATAGAGTTGAATTTGTACTGTAGCGACGTGGCCGCTACCGCGCACGTTGTGGTCACCAAAGCCTGCGGAGCAGCATTCCAAGCAACGTGCTGCTCTCCTCTATGTTTATCCATCGTCTCTTTCGCTCTTGCCACTTCTGGTGTACGGTGTGCACGTGCTCTATTTTTGACTCTTTGGTTGTGAGAATAAAGAAGACCTTGTTACTGAAAAAAACGTGTCCGTGTCGTACAACCTGGTTCTACAAAGTGGTGACCTGGAGTCCTTCGCGGCACTGTCAAAGTATTGTAGAGTCAAGAGAAGGAGTCCCTCTTGTCTCTTCTCCTGTCCCCCCCTTCCCTGTCGTTTGTACGGGTATGCACTCTTTATTATTGTAGAGTCATGCAGAGCAACGAGCGGCACCTAAACATGGAAGCTACTTGCACGACAGTTCATGACGTCTCTGCGATCTCTCTTGGACTATCAGCTTACTGGGACCGCAACCTTTCAATTTGGATCGTTCAAGCTGTCACATTTTGTGTTTTCTGGCGTGTGCCAGAACAACGCAAGTACGTTTCGACGCTGTCAACAGCTGTTGCCGAAGAAGTATCTGACTTGCTTTCCGGACCCCCCTCAATCACACCGTACAGCATTCTCAAGGCTGCTTTGCTGGAGCAAACGACGGCAACACAGCGTTCCCGCACACAGCAGTTGCTCTCCGGGGATGAATGAGGCGACCGCCGGCCCAGCCAGCTTCTTCGTCATATGCGTCAACTCATGAGCGGCTACACTACCACTACTGACGAGAACTTGTTGTGGGAACTGCTTCTGCAGCGCCTTCCTGCCAGTGCGCAAATGGTACTAGCCACTGCATGCACGTTAGACCTTCACTGTTTGGCTAGCCTGGCGGACATGGTCTTGGAGGTGGGCACGCCGTCTGTGTGCAACGTCACGCCGTCATTCAACAACGTTAGTGCCGCTCCACAAACATAATCTGACCCTGCTTCTCCCATCGATGTGCTTTACGATCGCCCAGAACAACTGGTTTGTGTCGCGGAGCGTCATTACACCACACTACGTCACCGAAACCGCAGCCGAAGCTCCCCGCGTTATGGACGCGCACAACGCTCTCAATTCCCCACACCACCAGGCATATGCTATTACCATCGCCGTTTTAGACAGGGTGCGTGTCACTGCCTCCAACCTTGCTCATGGCAGGGAAGCAGGTAGGCCGACCATTGACGGTGACGAGTGGTCAAGGCCAACCCATAAGTCGCCTGTTTCACGTCATGGACAAAATCACAGGTCAGCGGTACCTGGTGGACACTGGTGCAGAGGTCACCATTATGACGGCTCAAAAATCCGACCGAACAATACCCCTGATCTCCTACCTGAAAGCTGTCAACGGTAGCAACATCCCCGTATACAAATTGCAGTCGCTCACTCTGAACCTAGGCTTGCGCCGCTTGTTTCGTTGGATTTTCCTCGTCGCTGACGTACGCCGTGCCCTCATTGGTGCCGACTTCTTAAACCACCATGGACTGCTAGTCGACGTGAAATGGCAACGCCTGTTAGGTCTTACTACAATGCTCTCTGTCTATGGTGTTGTTTCCCATGACACGAACATATTCGGCCCAGCTACAACAAGACCGATGACAATTTCGCAGGACTTCTTCAAGAATTTCCAAACGTGACGCAAACGCCTGACTGGACGAAACCCGTTCAACATGAAGTCCACCACCATATAATCACTACAGGTCTACCTGTTTTCGCTCGCCCATGGCGACTTGCTCCAGATAAGCTTAAAGTAGCCAGGGCTGAGTTTGAACACATGTTGGAACTCGGAATAATACGACCATCACCGAGCAGCTGAGCGTTTCCTCTCCACATCGTCCCCAAAAAGTCAGGTGACTGGAGACCCTGCGAAGACTGCCGTTCCATGAACGCGAAAACTATTCCCGACTGGTATCCCCTGCCTAACACTCAGGATTTCACATAAGCTCTACATTGCACAACAGTGCTATCTAAAATCGACTTAGTCAAAGCCTTTCACCAAGTTCCTGTTGCTGCAGAAGATGTTCCAAAGACGGCAATTACCACCTCATTTGGCCTTTTTGAGTTCCTGAGAATAAAATTCGGCCTCCGCAATGCTGCGAAAACGTCATAGCGGTTCATTGACATGGTCATACGTGATTTGCCGTTTGTGTTTGTCTACGTCGATGACATGCTGGTGGCGAGTTCATTCCTCGAGGAGCACTTGAAACATCTCCGTTAACTTTTCGAGCATCTGTCAGCCAACGGAATCGTTGCGAACACCGCAAAAAGTTAATTCGGAGTGTCGTTTCATGATTTCTGGGTCACTTGGACAGCAGTGGAATCAGCCCCCTTCCTGACAAAGTGCAAGCAATCGTCGAGTTCCCCAAGCCTACATCAATAAGCTGCGCCAGTTTGTACGGCTAGTAAATTTATACCGCTGATTTATTAGGAACTGTTGGAGCCCCTCGACAATTCGCTCTGTGGCAAACCCTTGGAAATTGCACTGCCATGAAACACCGCTGCAGAAGAAGTTTTCAGCTTCATCAAGAACGCTTTGTCTAAAGACACACTGCTGACGCACCACAATCCCAGTTACCCTTTGGTGGTCATGACGGATGCATCCTGTTATGCACTTGGGGCCGTACTCCAGCAGAAAGTGAACAATCAGCGGCAGCGCCTTGCCTTGTTCTTCAAGCGTATGACCTCTGCCCAAAGAAACTTCAGTGTTTTTGGCTGTGAGTTGCTCGCTATCTTTCGTGCCAAGCGTCATTTTCGACACCTACTTGAAGATCGCTTTTTTACAATTTTCACTGGTCACAAACCTCTCACCTCAGCCGATCTGAATCACTGTAAACACTGCGCGAAGTGCGCCAGCTCGCGTTCATCTCGGAGTTTTCAGCTGTTATATGCCACATCAGCGATGTTGACAACGACCCAGCTCACGCTCTCACGTCGCGTGGACGCCATCACCCACAGTCGCTCCAAAACGTGCACCTCAACACCCTTTCCAATCAAACTCCAAGATATCGCTGCAGCCTTATCAAAAGACACCGAGCTTGAACACTTACGCGAAGCGTTCACATGACTTCAGCTCAAATCCATCACCTTTGAAGATGTTCCAATAATTTTTGACACCTTCACAGGCACACCCGGGCCATTTCTAACCAACCATTTTCGTAAGAAAATACTCAACACCTATCACAGCGTTTCTCAACACGGAATATGCGCTTCCCAAAAGCTTGTTTCTTCACGCTTTGTCTGACCCGGCATGAACGCCAACACCAAGGATTGGGCTTATGAGTGTGCATCGTGTCAGCGTGCAGCGCGCCAAAGTTCCACGGTACCCCGTTGCTCCATCACAGCCCTTCTTGCAACCCGACAAAGGTTTCGCCGTTGTGCATATTGACATTGTTGGCCCATTACCCCCATGTCAAGGCTATTGCTACCTTCTGACATGTGTAGATCGTTTCACTTGCTGGACCGAAGCGACTTCTATGACCGACATATCTGCAGCTACCGTCGCAACGGCTTTTTATTTCTACCGGGATATCCCAATTTGGCTGTGCGACAACGATTGTGTCAGACCGGGGTCGCCAGTTCGAATCGTCCCTCTTTTCGGAGCTCCTGAAACTACTTGGTATTTCACGCCTGCGAACAGCGTCATACCATCCGCAAACAAACGGCCTCACCGAGAGATTCCACTGGCACCTCAAAGCACTCACAGCATACGGTTGCCCCAACAGGTGGGTCGACCACCTCCCGCTCGCGCTACTCGTAATTCGATCTCCTTTCAAGGAGGACATCTCCTGCTCCACTTCCGAGCTTGTTTATGGCACTTCGCTTCACCTGCCTGTCGATTACTTCGAAGAAAGCGGCAGTGTTACCCAGATAACGGCAGTCGACCAGCAGGGCGGCGTCTTTCGGCACATTCGTCCGCAGCCTACACGCAGCCAACCACGTGCAGCGTACATCGCTCGGGACCTAAAGGCAGCGACACATGTGTTGTGTGGTACGGCTCTGTGCGCACCCCGCTTCAACCACACATCGGTCTCTTCCGTGTGTTAGAGCGCTGGCCTGCGTATTTCATCGTCGACATCACTGGGACACGCCATAAAATCGCGCTCGAGCGGCTCAATCTTAATTGCCTCGTCGTGCTTCCTTTCGCTGGATACGAAGACCCCTCCTCGCCAGTATTCCTCCCGTCACCACCTCTGCGCCGCGTTCCCTTGGATGACACTTCAACTGGGAATCATTCGTCGCACCAGCTTCGTATCTAAAGGCGCGTTCACACTTGGCTTCGAAGACAGCGAAACCAGCGGAACTCTCCGGAAACTGGCTCGTTTCGCCGCCCAAGCGACCAAAAACCACGCCGTGGCCGGTGCGCGAGAACTGTTCTGAAACCCCCCCCCCCCCCCCACGCGAAGCCGGATCTGGTTTCCGCTTTACAGCCTAGGCTGCGATAGATCAAACCGCGTGACCTAATCAGCCGGCCACAAATTTAACATGGTGGCACAGGCGTTGGCGGTGGCTCGCATCGGCTCAAATCGCAAACTACCCATGCAGCATAACAAAGCTTGATGGCCTCACTTTTGCCGCTTTCAGTGCACTGCGTGCACCTGCTCTATTTTCAACTCTCTGGTTGTCACAATAAAGCAGACGTTGTTACCGAAAAGACGGGTCCGTCTCGTGCAGCTTGGCTCTACAGTACTTTCGCTTTGGTCTTCTTTGTACAAGTGCCTTTCATCTCATTTTTGGGTTGGTTAACATCGAAAATGTTCTGATGCTTTACAGTCGTTATCCCTAGTTCATTGTGCAGCAATTTAGTCGTTATCGTCCGTTTTTAGATCGAAGCAGACGTTTCTGTGTGACTTTTTTTGAATGCCCATGTGGGACTTGACAAACTTCAGGGGTCGTACACTCGAGTCGACATTTTGACGAGTAGATTCGTCTTTTTCAAGGCTTGAACTGAAGAATACTTATCGAAACATCGGCACGAGTACACAAGCCTTGTCAACAGGCTGTGTCTTCGCAAGCTTTCATCTTCCTTTTATGCAATACCGTGAGGTGTAAAACCACCTGCGTGGCAAAATAACCAATCTCACTCAGCGACCAGCCTTTTTGTGGCCGCGCATTCAATACAAACAGCACATGCCCTCAATGCCAATCATGCATTGTATTAGGGCTTGCAATGACGTACACAAGTTAACTAGACAACCCGAATGCTCTTTGCGATTATGTTTTCTTTTTTGGAGGTTTGCATGCTATACCTCGTGAAAGAATGGGATAAAACCCAAGGACGGGGCCAACCAGATTTAAACAAACGTTTGTCCCGTCTTTGAGATGTTGTCCAGTTCCTCTAGTATCCCAACTTACCCAACTTAGCCGCTTCTTGCTTTACTTTCTTCGACGATGGGTGACCATAAGCTAGCACATATTTCGATCATTCACAGTGTAGTACAGTTTTGCTGTGCCGCCGCACAGCCCTTCCTCTATCCCGTACCTCGGCATGTATCTCACTCACTCACCTTGATAACATCGTCATGCCTGGTCTTGATGATGTAGAAGCCGGCCAGACTGCCCAGGTTTGGCAGAAGCACCCAGCAGGCCGCCTGGGTGGCCTCGTCGTATTCCATGCTCGCGCGAAGTTACGCCTGCGACAAAACGACTTCATGAACAAGCCCTCACCCACTCACTACGTGTACTAAATTGTTAGTTGAACGATTGAAGGGGCGTCTGGTTTGTCAGACATAGGAAAGAAACTGACAGTTTCAGGTTAATCCAAATTCGTCACAAATTTCAAACATGCGGCTTTCTCAGGCCATGTGAAGGAAAAGGCCGCAATAGGCATCTGACACTCACGCCTCAAAGGACTGCTTGCAAAAAATACCTGTACTTCAAAAGCCTCTTTTTTGCTCACTGTGGCATAAAAAACACAGTGAAGAACTAATTATGCTAATGTTTATGAGAGGTGTGATTTCAGTTCAGCCATTATTAATTGATAAGTGAAGTTTAACGTCCCAAACCACCATGTGATCATAAAAGACACTGTACTGGAGGCTTCCAGAAATTTCGACCACCTGGGGGTTTTCAACGTGCACCCAAATCGGAGCCCATGGGCCTACAGTATTTTTGCCTCCATCGAAAATGCAGTCGCTGCAGCTCGGTTTCAATCACGCAAGGTGCGTATCAGCAGCCGAGTACCTCAGACACTAGACCACCACGGTGGAAATTCGGCCATAATGGGAGCATTCATGAATTCGTCTCAGCTTCGTCTTTTCGGCTCTGACAGCATTCACGCATACGCGCAACTGCTTATTGCAAGACGGAAGTTCAGCAAGAACTCGTCCCACTTCACTGCCTTGATCGTTATATAGGCTGACTAATCAAAATTGTCCTGTAAGTTTACGATGAATTTTTTTATTTGAAATGAAAGCCAAGACACAACAATAAAATGTACAACTGCGCTCGAAGCAGAAGCATAAGGACTCCGCAAAGCTATGCGCTAGCAGAGGTGGGATTGAAAAAAAAAACTTTATTGATTGTGCGGCAGATTAGTGGTTCAGCCGCGTATTTTGAAACGCTGGCACCGCATGTGTCTGGGGACGCGCGCGCCTGCGAACAGACGCACGCACACACGAAGTGTTCACGGGTGTTCTATCATGAAGAAGCACTCTCGCTACTTCGCAGTTGCATTAGGATCAGGCAGCCGCTCACACCAGTAAGCCACCGTGCAGCACCTTCGAGTGGTTTTGGTTAGGTGGTGATAGTTTTGATGTGTAACGTCACTTCAGCTTTTAAACGCGAAGTGCCTTCGCGTCAGCATGTGCATGGACGGTGACGTGGACTCGCTCGCTGAATTTCGTGCCGACCGGTTTTGCCTCCGCCATCTCCGATGGCAGCACAGCTCTGGCTGTACGGCTCGTTCTCCGCCATTTCCATCCTTGGACTCCTGCGACCATGTCCATCTTTCCTATCTTCTCCTTACTTCTGTATGTGGGTCTCCCTGTCCCTATCTCTGCTCCTATCCTTTTTAATAATCACTTTCTCTTTTAATCCCTCCTTACCCCCATCCCTCGTGAGCCACTCTTGAGGTGTCGCACTATAATGCAGACAGTTCACTTTTATCTTCTTTTTACTCTTTTAAGAATCACTTACATGGACGGCGACGTGCATGAGTGAATCGCAAGCGACAAGCAGGCATCAAATACAACGTGAATCATCGACAGCAATACCAGAAATCTAAAGAGGCAAGTTCGCATGTTGTTTGTTTCCATGCCAAGGGGCGAAAGGCCAAGTACAATAAGAATTGATATCGACAATAATTGTGAAGCCACACTTGATCAGCGCTTTTCAAAATGTTTTCTGCGCTCAGCGTGGTTTTCCATTGATCCGAGGTCACTGCATTGGTAGCATTCAGCACTGAACGAGGAAATGTTACAATAGCCTCGACGTTAACCACCTAGTTCTTGTTTACGCGGGGATACTGCTGGCTGTGAAACACACGTGGCTTAATTGCTTACAGAACGGACATGCTTCATGCTGGCTCGTCGTATTGAAATCCATGAAAACGAACGGCTCTTTGTTTCAGTTAAAAACTGACGTATGAAAGGTGATAATCACGCCAGTCATAGACACTTTCGCAGATTTCAGCAGTGGCATTTCCACGCTTCAGCTGAGATTTTAGCGCACAAAATTATGACAACATTGAACCATTAAGTAAACGCCATGTCTTTCAATATAATGAGCGAGCATATACATGTATGCTCGCTCATCATATTGGTTGATTGATTGATATGTGGAGTTTAACTTCCCAAAACCACCTTATGATTTGGAGAGACGCCGTAGTGGAGGGCTCCGGAGATTTTGTCCACCTGGGGTTGCTTGATCCTCATAACCAGCTAAATAAAAGCACCAATTCAAAATGGGTTTTTGGTCGATGAATACGAGGCTGTTCAAGATATGTATCTCTGATAGATAAGCATGGTCAAGGCTTGCAACCACTGTGCTTCCGCGACGCATTAGGATCCACCAGAGTCGCTGAAGAACTCGGGATTTTCCACAAATTTTCACTGGTTGCTTTAGGAGAGGTAGCCCATCTTACAGCGGAAGCAGCACGCGTTGGTTGCCGTCGAAGTTCAAGCTTTAAGGCCATATTCGACACTAAACTTCACTCTATTAGAGCTTCCCAGATTTTCCTTGAAGATATCATTACTCCGAAGCCGACCGTAATCAACCTTTGCGGCTACATTTAATCAGGTCTCACAATTCCGGCATGTGCCGTACAATAGGTGACCAGTAAAAGAGCGAGGGATTGCGGGATGCACCGACTGCTACCGGCTCCGGTTTGAGAAGAGTAGACGACGGTGAACCGCTTCGCCACAAGCCTCAGATTATTCGGGATTCGCGCGCGCGGTTGCCCGTTTATCTTCGTCCTGAAAAACCATGGTCAGTTTTCAGCCGTTGGCTGCTCCAACTCGAGCGTGAAAGGCAAACGCATGAATCGATTGCCACGAAACGAAGAAAGGAAAATGAGATGGGCCGTGGCTGTGAAGAGAGCGATGGCGACACGTAGCCTTTGAGTATACACGGAACGTTAAATCTGGAGTGTGCGAAAAGTTTTATCACAGATACATGTGTATTACACGCCAAAAAAAACTTATGTATGAATTTGCTGTGAATATTATATTGAAAAATAAATTGTCGCACAGGCGCGCCTAGCAAATATATTATGGGAACGCGTGGGTCAAATATACCTGCTATACGAAATGAGCACCGGCCATTGCACCCATATATATATATGACAAAAAAGGCAAAAGTTTCACTCAAGAGTAAGTGTACACGAAGCGCTGGACGAGTGCACTTGCGCTTATTTTGGTGAAACTGTGCGCCAGGACGGCAATCAAAGGAAGAAGTGCATTAAACAAGCGCAGGGTTTAGATTACTCGGCGCCACCTACGTCTGACTGTATTGTTTATGTGCCGCCGTGCCGCGCAGCTTATAAGCTGCGCGGCACGATTATAATCAAGATTTTCTGATTATAATCAAGATCAGAGTTTATATAAACATCTGGCTTCAACTAAGAAATGAACCTCATAGCTCACGGAAGGCGAGAAAAAAAAGATATCTCAATTCGCTTGTCTTGCAGGCCACGGCCAGCCTAGGTCCGGGAGCAAAGTTTCAGGCCTTTGTTAGGCCATTCCAGATGAATAGCACGGATACCATAAGGATCGCTCAACACAAGTCAGATGTGTTCGCCTTAGGAGCCAGAGGCACTCCCCAAGAGGCGGTCATCTCCCCCTTGACGTTCAATATAGTCATGAAGGGCTCATCGCAGAGGCTCAGATCCCTGCCCAATATAGGCCACTTGCTTCACGCGGAGAGAGAGAGAGAGCATAAACTTTATTGGGTTCCAGCATGCGGGATTCCCTCCGGCCGCGCAGGGCGTGGGGTGCACCCTATCTCACGTTACACTAGAAGTCCTAATGTCACGCGGGCCTAGACCTCAAGGCCTTCGTGCCCCGTCGCTGCTCGGGTTACTGAGGGTGTCCCCCTTTCGCCTTTGCAGCGCCAGTGCGACCTCGAGCTGCCGGACGGCCCTTCGCTGGTCTTCTGGGTCCGTAGACCCCACACGCTGTTCTACTTGCGGCGGTAACACCGGACCGTCCGCGCTGTCTGCGTCACATCCCCAGAGTATGTGAGCCAGGGTGGCTCTCGCGCTCGCGCACACACTGCACATTTCACTCACGTAGAGTTCGGGGCACACGTGTCGCGCTAGCGATGGGGTCAGCACAGTCTCGGTTTGGAGCTGGCGCAACCTCACCGCCTCCCACCGGGTAAGATCCCTGTGCGGAGGCGGGAAGCCACGCCGTTGCTCCCTGTACCACGCGAGGATGTCGCCGTAATCGAGCAGCTGCTCCTCGCCTTCTTCTTTGGTCGCCGTCGTGTCTTCGGAGGCGGGCGCGGCCGCGGTCCGGCACGTGGCGAGACCACGGGCCGCGGCATCCGCCTCCTCGTTGCGGTTCGGAGATCCTGGTATCAGGTCCCTACCCATGTGAGCCGGGAACCATTTTAGCGTCAGCCTCGACTTGGACTCGTCGCTTGCCAACGCCCTAGCAGCCGCCCCGCACACGGCTCCGCGCGAGAAGCTACGGATGGCCGTCTTGCTGTCACTGAGTATTGTCCGCACGCCCGGGGAGCGCGCCGCCAAGGCTATCGCCATCTCCTCGGCCTGGCTCGCGCTCCGCGTACGCACGCTGCATGACGTGACGATCTTGCCCGTCGTTGCGGCGACCGCCGCCGCCACGTAGGCGTCCTTGTTCTTGACTTTGGCCACGTCCACGTAGACGGCGCCCTCGTCGTTCTGATGTTGCAGCAGCAGCGCCCTGGCTCGCGCCGCTCGTCGTCCCTCGCTTTCGCCGGGACCCATGTTCTTTGGCAGCGGATACACCACCAGTCTTCGCATGGTTGACTCCGTGAGTGGAGACGTTTCGTGGTCTTGTTCCTCGGGGGAGGACAGGCCCACTCGTTCCAGCAGCCGCCTGCCGACCGCGGTGCGGCCCAGGCGCGTCAATTGAGCAGTACGTTGGGCCTCGCCGATCTCCGAGAGCGTGTTGTGCGCTCCCAGAGATAGCAA